TCGAAACATACAGACAACCACCAAACCTCTCTATCTTATATCTATAAAATTCTAGGATTTCCGTCCGTTACACTCTCTAAAATAGCCATATATTGGCCGATCGAAACATACAGACAACCATATCAAACTATGATTTCCGTCAGTTACACTCTATCTTATATCTATAAAATTCTGTTATCTATAAACATTCTATCTTATTTCCGTCCGTCACACTCTCTAAAATAGCCATATATTGGCCGATCGAAACATACAGACAACCACCAAACCTCTCTATCTTATATCTATAAAATTCTATGATTTCCGTCCGTTAAAATAGCTATATTGGCCGATCGAAAATAGCCATATATTGGCCGATCGAAAATAGCATATATTGGCCGACAAAACACCAAACCTCTCTATCTTATATCTATAAAATTCTAGGATTTCCGTCCGTTACACTCTCTAAAATAGCCATATATTGGCCGATCGAAACATACAGACAACCACCAAACCTCTCTATCTTATATCTATAAAATTCTATGATTTCCGTCCGTTACACTCTCTAAAAATAGCCATATATTGGCCGATCGAAACATACAGACAACCACCAAACCTCTCTATCTTATATCTAAAAAATTCTAGGATTTCCGTCCGTTACACTCTCTAAAATAGCCATATATTGGCGAAACATACAGATCCACCAAACATACAGACAACCACCAAACGTCTCTATCTTATATCTATAAAATTCTAGGATTTCCGTCCGTTACACTCTCTAAAATAGCCATATATTGGCCGATCATACAGAAACATACAGACAACCCCCTCAAACGTCTCTATCTTATATCTATAAAATTCTAGGATTTCCGTCCGTTACACTCTCTAAAATAGCCATATATTGGCCGATCGAAACATACAGACAACCACCAAACCTCTCTATCTTATATCTATAAAATTCTAGGATTTCCGTCCGTTACAATAGCTCTCTATCTTATATCTATAAAATAGCCATATATTGGCCGATCGAAACATACAGACAACCACCAAACCTCTCTATCTTATATCTATAAAATTCTAGGATTTCCGTCCGTTACACTCTCTAAAATAGCCATATATTGGCCGATCGAAACATACAGACAACCACCAAACGTCTCTATCTTATATCTATAAAATTCTAGGATTTCCGTCCGTTACACTCTCTAAAATAGCCATATATTGGCCGATACAGACAACCACCAAACCTCTCTATCTTATATCTATAAAATTCTGTTATTTCCGTCCGTATATCTCTAAAATAGCCATATAGACAACCTTATATCTATAAAATTCTATTATTTCCGTCCGTTACACTCTCTAAAATAGCCATATATCTTTATCTCTCTATCTTATATCTATAAAATTCTAGGATTTCCGTCCGTTACACTCTCTAAAATAGCCATATATTGGCCGATCGAAACATACAGACAACCACCAAACCTCTCTATCTTATATCTATAAAATTCTAGGATTTCCGTCCGTTACACTCTCTAAAATAGCCATATATTGGCCGATCGAAACATACAGACAACCCCCAAACGTCTCTATCTTATATCTATAAAATTCTAGGATTTCCGTCCGTTACACTCTCTAAAATAGCCATATATTGGCCGATCGAAACAACCCCAACATACAGAAACACTCTCTACATTGGCTCGAAACATTCTAGGACAACCACCAAACCTCTCTATCTTATATCTATTCTAAATTCTGGGATTCCGTCCGTTACCTCTAAAATAGCCATATATTGGCCGATCGAAACATACAGACAACCCCCAAACGTCTCTATCTTATATCTATAAAATTCTAGGATTTCCGTCCGTTACACTCTCTAAAATAGCCATATATTGGCCGATCGAAACATACAGACAACCACCAAACGTCTCTATCTTATATCTATAAAATTCTATTTTCAAATCCGTTTCTCTAAAATCCGTTACAGACAACCACCAAACCTCTCTATCTTAAAAAATAGCCATATATTGGCCATATATTGGCCGATCGAAACATACAGACAACCACCAAACAAACCTCTCTATCTTAAATATCTATAAAATTCCGTCCGTTACAGCCATTTCCATCCGTTACACTTATATCTAAAAATAGCCGTTATCTCTAAAATAGCCATATATTGGCCGATCGAAACATACAGACAACCCCCAAACGTCTCTATCTTATATCTATAAAATTCTAGGATTTCCGTCCGTTACACTCTCTAAAATAGCCATATATTGGCCGATCGAAACATACAGACAACCACCAAACCTCTCTATCTTATATCTATAAAATAAATTCTTACAGATTTCGTCCGTTTACACTCTCTAAAATAGCCATATATTGGCCGATCGAAACATACAGACAACCACCAAACCTCTCTATCTTATATCTATAAAATTCTAGGATTTCCGTCCGTTACACTCTCTAAAATAGCCATATATTGGCCGATCGAAACATACAGACAACCACCAAACTTATATCTCTTCTATCTTATATCTATAAAATTTATGATTTCCAACCACCCTTACACTCTAAAAATAGCCATATAAAATTGGCCGATCGAAACATACAGACAACCACCAAACCTCTCTATCTTATATCTATAAAATTCTATGATTTCCGTCCGTTACACTCTCTAAAATAGCCATATATTGGCCGATCGAAACATACAGACAACCACCAAACCTCTCTATCTTATATCTATAAAATTCTAGGATTTCTGTCCGTTACACTCTCTAAAATAGCCATATATTGGCCGATCGAAACATACAGACAACCACCAAACGTCTCTATCTTATATCTATAAAATTCTATGATTTCCGTCCGTTACACTCTCTAAAATAGCCATATATTGGCCGATCGAAAAATAGCATACAGACAACCACCAAACGTCCCTATCTTATATCTATAAAATTCTATGATTTCCGTCCGTTACACTCTCTAAAATAGCCATATATTGGCCGATCGAAACATACAGACAACCACCAAACCTCTCTATCTTATATCTATAAAATTCTAGGATCTCCGTCCGTTACACTCTCTAAAATAGCCATATATTGGCTGATCGTAACGAAAATTGGGGGAGATGTGCACACAGGTGGATGCGTAGTAGAGTTTGCTTTACTAAGGTGCGTAGCTTAGTACACTAACTTTTCATTAATGTTTTGTGGAAAAATTAAGTTTTATTATTTAACAAACTATTCCCACTATTTTAAAGACAATCTAATGATTAAAATAACAATTACTTAATAAAAATGCAATGTTTTTTGCATATCTTTTTCTTTAAGTTTTTATATTTCATTGATTGGTTTGCTAAATTGAACGAAACGTAGAGTTTGCAAACCTTGACAAAAATGTTAGCGATGACTTCATCAATGCTAAATATTTTGAGGATGTCAACATGCGTCAGAGTGTTGCCAAAAAAAACAAAAAAACAAAAAAAAACTCTAGTAGATAAAAATGCCTACTAGACGATTAAATGCACATATGCAGACTAACGCATAGAGATTATCAATCAAATCCCGTATAGACAAACTAGAATTATGATTCATATACACACATGAATTATACACAGGAACGCTACTTGACAGGACAGGAACACATGAGGTCTGATTAACCAATGAAAAAAAAAACACTACAAAAATATTAATGCAAGAATTTTCTTTTCTCCTCCATATTTTATTTTCTGACGAAGTTTAATAAAAGCGAAACACGTTAAATGCATCCTGTAAGTTCCTTATCCTAACATTCTGTCGGATTCAAAATCATATTTGATCTATATTTATCCCATTTCATATATATATATATATATCGGATGCCTAGCCACACTGATGAGGTGTGATACAGCGAAACAGTCTGTGGATGACATTATTATGCTCTCGATAATTTCGGTTGAGCACTGTCGAGAGTTCTAGACAGCAGCCGTCTCCGTTAACGCAACGCTCTTCATTAAAATGAATCGAACACTATGGCTGTTTGGCTTTTGTTTACAAAAAAAAAAAAATAATAATACGCTAGAATTTCCCTTTCGCTCTGCCGTGCGCTGATAGCTCAAGGGTAGAAACTCCGATGCCAAATCGGTCGGGTTTCGATTCTGTCTTGAAGCAATCGGATGTCTAGTCACACTGATGAGCTGTGATACAGCGAAACTCTGTTTGTGAATGACACACACACACACACACATATATATATATATATATATATATATATATATATATATATCATATGTGTGTGTGTAAGTACCTGACTCCTTATGCTATCCTCTACCTTTACAAGAATCAGAGCAGGCCTAAAATGAAATACTCTTCTCATATTTGTATTTGTTCAGCACCCACAGAGCCCACCTGTGGTTTATACTGCAACTATGCTGAGCAGACCTTAGTTACGGTTTCTGGAAGAGAGCGTGTTATCTATCGTGATCAACAATCTGAACAAGGCCAGTACACTCAAACCCTCAGTCACGATGATCTCTAATGCTGTTGTGACCTCCTGATTCAGTTTTCCTCTCTGCTATTCCATCTTTTTAAAACTTATTCACTGTTCTCTCGATGGTTCTTGAATGGACTTTGAAAATGGAAGCCAGAGTATGAATGTTGCTACCATTACTGAAGGCCTGAATGATCTTTTTCCTCTCACCATTGCTCAGTTGGGAAGACAGTGCGGATGACACAAAACGATCTTAACTTGTTCTCTTTCTAGCTGAATGACTCAAAGGAGTTTTCAGTGATTCTTATGACTAAATGGTATCAAGATAGTTAAATGTCTTATCTGAAAACCTGAAAAAAAGTAACTCAATTAGTTTAGTGTTTTTTTTTTGTTGTTTTTTTTTTTTATAGATATTAAATATTTTGTGGGATGGACAAATATTCCATGCTGTTAAACCATTTGGACAATCTTGCTCTTACACTGGCTATATCAACAGGTTTCCCATCAAGTGTCGAGGCAGGAATCCATCAATTTGACTTCTTGAAAACCTGATGGGAATGTTGCTAATGTTGGAAGAAATTTAAAAACTGAGACAGATAGATAGATAGATAGATAGATAGATAGATAGATAGATATGAACACACTGATGAGGATGGATATGAAGTGAGTGAAATAGATGGATATGAACAGATTGTGATAGATAGATAGATAGATAGATAGAATGCAAGTTTTAATTTTTTTATTTGTTCGTGCCATTTTTCTCTTCGTCGGAGAGAATTTGAACATGAAATGCCCAATCTTTTCTGAGCGCTTTCAAATTTAATAAGCTAATATCAAAGGAAACAATTTCTTGTGTGGATTTAATTCTTTGGTAATCGTTTAGGAAAGCCAGAACATCTCTCAGAAGACATTGGATAATTTATGTTCAAATTCTTCCCGGAAAACGGGGAAGCTGTCAGAACCGGGGATAAATTAAATTTGAATATCTTAAAAAAAAAAAAAAAAAAAAAAAAATTTTGGTTGTTCTTCAACCAAATCTGCATTAATGAAAGTTGGCTGTTTAAAGATACCTTTGAAAGAAATAGCGTTTCTTTTTCTATTTTCTCGTTGTAAATTCGATCAAAATTTGGCTACTGTGATCCTCTTCCTCCATCCCAGACAATCAACTGCTGATGATAGAAACCTGGAGATATTCATCATGTTTAAAGAGAACAGGATTGTTCTTTTGTTTGTGGAGAACGGGATAGTTCTTGTGTTTAAAAGAAATACTGCGTCTTTGTTGAGTACATAGCATGTTCTTGACTGGAATCCACAAGGGAAGCAAAAAGTGGGGCGACCAAAGCAGACTTGGCGCAGATGTGTTGATGCAGAGGTAAACGCAAGTCGGCACGACATGGGCCGAACTGAAGAGGATCACCCGGAATCAGGTCCGTTGGAGATGTGGTGTTGCGGCCCTATATTCCCCAAGAGATCAAGGGGCATGAAGAAGAAAGAAGTTGAATGCTTAGAAGTGCTATTTATGAGGTCACACCCATTCAAGGTTTGAATCCAGGAAAAAATAATTATCATGGCATACACCTATTTTTTTTTATTTACAGACGGAGTTTATTCTTGTTTAATTGTTCCTGTAACTTAATGAGGCATTGCGTTAATATACTCGTAAATTCCACGCGAAAACATGCAAACACAGCAAAAAAATAATATAAAAAAAACAACAACAAGGAAGAAAGAATAAAACTTTTTCATTTCCCGATATTTTATGAAAACAATGAAATGGTAAGTAACACACGTACACAAGCGTACACAAACGCGCGCGCTCGCGTGCCCACATACACACGCACACACACAATCCGGTGATTTTATGGAGAATCGTTATACATTTTTTTTTTTTTTTACGTCTGATGTCTCCGGGTTTTTTTTCAGAGTCCTTTTATGTATGCCCGTGACAACTTTACTCTCTAACACACTATATATATATATATATATATATATATATATATATATATATATATATATATATATATATATATACATACATGCATACATACATACATACATGCATGCATGCAAACATACAGGAGGGGGTGCTGAAATGTCCTCGGCTCAAAAAGTGATTCCGCGCCCAAATTCTGATAGTCTGCGCACTGGCTCAAATTTTGGGAATTGGGTCGGAATGAAATATTTCAGCAATCTCCTTATATAACGTGATAAGATGTTGGTATATGAATTGATTAACAGGAGTTTTCATACATACATGCCAAAGGTTTTAAAAGGTTTGTCCAGTTTAAAAATGTCATATCGGTCCCAGAAAAAAGAAATCATTCTCTTGACGTTTTGACATGTCCTGTCGTCTGCAGTTCTCTTCTTACTATGTAAGAATTGTCAATGTTCCTTTTCTTCTTCTTTTTTTTTCTTTTTCTTTTCAAGAATCTTTTATGATTTTTCTTTGAAAAGAATATTTACCAATATGTACGATTCGTCTTCAGGAACGATTTTTTTTTTTTAGTCAAAGAAAAACAAAAACAAAAATTAATAAAATAATTGTCAAAAAAATTACCAATCCCTTAGAAAAATGATTGTAGGCACGAATTTTCCATTTCGTTCTTCATTGCTCTAGTTTTCATACATACATGCCAAAGGTTTTAAAAGGTTTGTCCAGTTTAAAAATGTCATATCGTTTCAAGGCACAGCTGAGTTTTATAATGGTATCTTGTGATGGTGATATTCGATATCGAGGTAGCGACTATTATATATATATATATATATATATATATATATATATATATATATATATATATGTGTGTGTGTGTGTGTGTGTGTGTGTGTGTGTGTGTGTGTGTGTGTGTGTGTGTGCATGCATGTATGTGTACATATTTGTTTGCATGTGAGGACACAGATGAAACTAAAATTATCTCCATATATGTTGAGCAATAAACTTTACAAATGCGATAGATAGATAGATAGATAGATAGATAGATAGATATTACAATGATTATGAGCGTATATATATAGATAGATAGATTATAGATAGTTTAAATATATGCCTTTAAGTCTTTATTTCAACTTTGGAAGAAATGGAAATATCTTATCACTTTATATAAAGAGGCATTTATATTTATTTTTTTTTCCAAAATTGGGAAATCTGAATGTAATTCATGAGATTTGAAAATTTAAAAATGCGTTCGTTTTTCTAAATCTTTTTTTTCTTAACGTATTTATAATTTTTAAATCCTTTTTTTCAATATACAAATAACTGTTGTTTTTTTTTTTTATCCATTTTCTCTTTCATTAACTAAGAAAAAAAAATTTAATTTGTTTTTCAAAAGAATTGGAAGAAAGTTAATACCCAGATTTGATTTTTGTTGATGCAACTTATGTAATTTTTTTTTCTCTTTCCTTCTTTAGAGTATCTGAAAATCTCTAAAATATATGTAACCACTTAGTAAACCGGCATGCTTACACTGGCCAGCCATGGGTAAAAATCCGACCTTTTCAAAACCACCAATCGTTTTCAAAATCCTAATCATCGCTTCATTGTTCGAGAAAAGGTCCACATACATGCCTAGATAGCCAATCTTTTGGGCGTAGTCACATGCTAGCCTCATGCATAGTTCTCCAAGTCGCTGCCGCCGGACCGACTTCTTGACAATGATAAAAGAATCGGCCACTCTCCAACCCCGGTAATATTTACTCACTGCCAACAAGAACGCTGCCATGAGTTCACCAGTCTCAAGGTTCGTGATTCCGAAGAAGTCACCGTAGCGAAGTTCGTCGTGAAACACTTCGTATTCTGGATACTCATCAATGCAGAACCCCGTGCCATCCTCGGACGCTTGCTGTACCATTTGGAAGGTCTCCCGGAACTGTTCGTCTGTGAGGTAATCGATTTTGGCCTTGGTTCCATTGCACAGACTGATGGTCGTGGGCAGGAAGTTCAGTCGCGATCTCTCGGCGTAGGCCAGGATGCTTGTGTTGTTGGTCTGGAACGTCCTAGAACGAGGAAACCTTTATACTTTCAATTAAACTTGAAACTTCATCGACATTCAAACATTTAAAAACAAATCAAAGAAAAAAAAAGAAAGAAAATTGGCCATCAATATTTTAACTGACTAGTTCAGAGGTTTCAAAACTTTTCCTGTTTGCGTCCCTACTTGGCCCCCAGACGATATCTCAAGCACCCCCCAACATTTTCCATACCCATATAAAAAATGCCCCTCTCTTGGTCTTAGTCATACTGCAGATTCAAAACAACTAACCCAGTAGTTCTCAACTGTTTTTTTCAAAGCATCCATTTCGCTGTGTACAATGTGATTCCCCGCTTTTCCAATATTGTCCGAATAAAAAACCGTACATTCTAAATGATTTGCATATATTATTAAAAATCTTCATTCTTTTCCCATATTAGTACATATATATATTTACATTGGGAAATTCGACGTGGTGAAATGGTTAGCACACTTGTTGCGGAAGATCAATCTACGACTGAATAGTAAATTCGATCCTCACCGGGTGCTCCATACTTTATACCTTGTGACACATCTAAGCTTCACTTAGTAATAATCCATGTAAATGGCGATTTTCTAAGGAGATTTACAAATCTAATAGCAATAAAAAATGTTGACAGATTTTTAAACTTGAACACATGTACAGTAATTTGTGTAAATTCATAACTAATCTATATAATAAATGCGAATGTCAGTGTGTCAGTGTGTCACAGTTTTTCAACTTTTCTCTTAAAGACCGTAGCCCAACATATCATACCATTTTGGAATCAGGACGACTCCGTGAGAAAATTAAAAACATTTCGAGGCTGGTTCAGACCCGCAATCTTGAAATTTTGAATTCCCAAGTTTTCATTACTGCGATTGTTTTCGGATTCCGCCATGTTGGCTTCTAATGATAAAAACAATTAAAGGGACCCAACTGTGTAAACTCCAACAGCTCATGTTTAAATGAAAAAAATACTCTTCTCATATTACAGTGTTTCAAAATGAAATTGTTCGTGTTTTCAACTTTGCTCCCAGAGGCCGTAGCTCAACATATCATACCATTTTTTGGAATCAGGCTGACTCCGTGAGCAAATTAAAAACATTCCGGGCTGAATCCGGACCCGTAATCCTGAAATTTTAGATTCCAAAATTTTCATTACTGCTGTTGTTTTCGGCGATTTTTTACGTGATTTTTTGGGACGAAGTTTTTTGTACGATAACAATTTTTAGAACTTGGAAATAAATTTGGAAAAATCGAAATTAATTGCGAAATCCAACGTAAGTCACCCATAAAATAAAAATAATTGTTTCAAAATATCTTTAAATTAAGTGGAGGCAGAAGAATTATCGTTGAACTTTTAAAAGGTAAGCTTAAATATTAAGGCAATATGCAAACATGCAGAGATCAATTTTGAGTTCTTCTGTAGTTTATTGCGGGGTATCTCATCTACTTCTCCTTACCTATTGTGATGAAGGGTCAATGAAGACCCCTCCGCAGGAAATAGCTTAAATGGCGCCCAATAGGACGGCTTTTAAGCTAGTTAGTAAATAAATAAACAGTATACTTCAATAAATAAAACGTTCAACAGAAGGCCAGTTTATTGGAATTGGATAAAAACAATACTGTAATTAAAAAACAAGAAAAAGTAAAATAAAATTTCCCCTCCTCCCGAATTCCTAAAATTCCTACTTTGGGTAGAATCCACCCTCTTACCACCACCTGGGAGGAATTCCCCAATGGCTAAGCTGACCTAACATTATAAACGCACAATAAAGCAATTTGCTTAGCTGGTTCAATAAGATGACAGGGTAACTTTGCAGTTTTAATGAGATAGATGTACTTGATGTAGGTATATAAGCTTCTCTGACTGGAAGGGACTGGGTAGAAGTCTTAGATCTCCTGGTTCAGTAATCTCTCTCTCTCTCTATATATATATATATATATATATATATATATATATATATATATGTGAGAGAGAGTGAGAGACATCGTGTAAAAGAAAAAAATGTCCAATTGTTAGATTGATCTCTGAATCGTTGTATCTTAGAGATGATTAAATGTATCTTACTGGAATTCTCCGAGTTTTTTATGACACTATTGGACTCTACTTTGAGCAATAAAAATGTATAATTACTCTACACGCTTAACAGAAGAATCATGATGAAATCTATCATAAACGAAAATGACATGTTCCTTATTAATTAATCATAGCTAAGGATCGGAAGCTCATGAGGGATTTCAAATATATATATATATATTATTCCAGGATCATTTTCCAACTTATTCAAGATGATCTTCGCCCTCTCTAACCTTCCAACTTTCTGTCCTGGTGTAACATGGTGCCTCAGGGGTTTCACGTACGATTTCATTTTCAAGTCCCTTTTCACTGCTCTTTGGACTGTCATAGGTGAACCCCTCTCTCACGTGCTAAACGTCTTATGCAATTTAGTTGGGTCTTTTCTAATCGATCTCTTTAGCTCTAACTTGAGATGATGATCCCTCTTCCTTTTATTGACCTCCTCATCCAGTTTTCCTCTCTACTGTTCCCTCTTTTTTTTTTTTTAAACTTATTCACTGTTCTCTTGATGGTTCTTGAATAAACTTTGAAGATGGAAGCCGGAATATAAATTTTGGTACCATTACTGAAGGTCTGAATTAACTTTTTCCTCTCACTATTGCTCATTTAAAAAGACAGTGGGTCCGATACTAAACGATTTCAACCTATTCTCTTTCTAGCTGAATAATTCAAATTTCAGTGATTCTTACGAAAAATGGTGTCAAGATGGCTAAACGTCTTATTTGAAAACCAGGTATATATATATATATATATATATATATATATATATATATATATATATATATATATACATTGGTCGGAATATTGTATTGAAGTGTGAAAGTGACAGTCGTAATGCAGTGTTGAGTCCTATGTCTACGATATTTATATCTCTGGGCACATATTCGTTCTTTTATTTATGAAATATATTTAGTATGTTTATTGCTAAATCTAAATTTGATATCATTTTATTGATGGTGAGCTGTTCGATTTTTATGCTTAAATGTAATTCTTAGAATAGCCATTTCCTTATAAAAAAATATCCTGCATTCATTAAACCATCAGCAATTTTTACTTCCGTTTGAAATTCATAAAATTAGTTTCTCAGGAAAATAAGTTTCTCAAGTCCACTAACTGTTATCTCCCTTTATAGTAATGATGAGGGTTTCCTTCCTAACTTTTTGTTTGCGTTACTGTGGAATATCAACATTTTGATTATGTCATTATCTTCTCTTCCAGTTACATGTTTTAGTTGCTTGCTAACGCGTCCAAAAAGCTACATTTTCGGACTACTTGTCACCAGCATTCTAACCATTGGGCCACAACGAGGTTCCCAGATGTATATGTAGATATATATCAGACTAGATTTTGATTAATGAGATCACGGGGTCATCTCAGAGCTCGGAAAACAGGGTCGAATATTTGAATAGCTCTTTGTTCCTCTTCGAAAACTTCGTTCATTCATCTTTCCAAAAATGCCTCTTTACGTCACGAGGCCCTCCCCTATGTATGCTTTTTACCGAATGAAATAAAGTAAAATGAAACTATTTTGAGAATCCGACTTGAACAGTTTCAAGTCAGTAACATTTCCATTCGTTCTGTGAATTATTCATTCATTTATTTATTCATACATTCACTGCAAATTATGAACGAAAGAAAACGTTATCAATCAGCCATTTTTTTATTTTTATTTGCAGACGATACCGGAATTAAATACACGGCGTATGATTTGGTTGGCGCGTGAACAGAAAAGAGGAAGTTAACCGACAGATGGAATGATGTCTTAGAAGCCGGATAGAGATGTTCTGTTGTGGGAAGTGCAAGTCGTGTCTACCAGCACGTAATTATTCCTACGCAATTTATCAGGGAGAGGCCAACCGGTACAGAGACTTGCAAAATCTACAATTCAAACGTTAGAAGAGATAGCAGAAAAACAAAATTCATTAAGAGCTTACAAGGGAAGGGAAGTGGTGGAGAGTCATAATCGCCTTCTTCCTGAGGGGACGCAGCACTTGAAGAAGAAGAAGAAGAAGAAATACAGAAGGCGATTATCTCCCTTTTGGGCTAGATGAATTCACGAGGGTCACGTGACAGCCAGTGAGACAGGCCCGTCAACACAGCCTCTCTTAAAGTTTAATCGTCACTAATTTTGGTCTTATTTTGCTTCTCGTGCAAAGACGATTAAATTATATATATATATATATATATATATATATATATATATATATATATATATATATATATATATATATAAAAATCAAATGTTTCATTATTGACCAACTTCGAAGTTCTGAATAATAAATTAATCTCGCGTATTCCGTAATTCAAAAGATTAAAAAAAAACAAAAAAAAAACAAAACAAAAACAAACTAAATTCACTTAATGCGAATCACAAGAGCCACCCAAGGTAGAGTGTTACTGAATGATGTTGTAGTGACGTAAAAGCAGGCGGTAAATGTAGATTATAGGGATATGTAGGATAAAAAATGGATAACCTAGACTTGAAGAGGTTAAGATTATAATAAATGAGACTGCCTTCTCTCCGGAGTCTGTTCCACAACGAGCTGTGTGAGTGGAAATTCTTTCTTACCAATAGAATACAAAGGTAATATGGGCGATTCGACAATGTGTGGGACAAGGCGGGCCGTCCTAGCTGTAAAGGTCTGAACTGGCAGAACGAAGGAATGTAGCTCGTCTGAACATACCCATAGAGTAGTAATAGGCTTGCAGCATTTCGTCTGTGGGAAAGAGACTGTAGGTTTGAAAATAATTCATCGCCCACAAGGCCGCGCCAGTAGAGCTTTTTTTGGTCACAAACCAAATGCTGAGATTTCAACAAATGCTGATCTCCCCTATATTGAATTGGGAATAGTAATTCTTTATTCGAGTTGATTATCGTAACTTCCCAGGCTGTCGTTTTTTACAACTATCAGGCTGGTCGGAAATAAAGAATAAGAACTCCGTGAGTGTCAAACTCACATTTTGCACCGAGATGCTTGTTTTTTTTTTTGTTTTTTTTTTTTTTTTCTGTAACGGCTCTAAAACGTGAAAAGACCCCCCCCCCAAAAAAAGGATTTTCTGAGTGAATGAGAATGCGAATTCTTACTTTCTGGAGATCTTACTTTTTGACCGATGTGTGTTTTTCCTGATACCCGTGGATAGAAAATCAGTTTAGTTCCAATGAAAAAACCATTGAAATTAAGATGAAAGAAATACTAGTCAAAAATCAATAGCTGTCGACAATGCTTCATGTAATAAAAATTCATGATAATAATACTATTAGTCCGACTTGATGAAAAGCAAGTTAAATAAGGATTAAAGAACGATTAGTCAAGAATTAATACTGGCTGACAATGCTTCACATTATAAAAATTAAACATAATTACTACTGACACTACCGGAAAATGTATAGGAGAAACTACGTGGATCTACAGTTACTCCGACACATTTCAAATACCCTGATTTATGGATCACACTTATAACAAACATTTTAAAGGAGGTAAGAAAATTGAATAGGAAAAAATGTCTGCGCTAATTGTAGTTTTCTCCAAATAGACTTGATTTTGATAGACAGTGGAGTGGTTTCCTAGCCCCTTATCCAAGCTTTTGAATTTGAAGTAGACCTTCTCCTAGATTTGCTGCCATCCAAAACAGTCTACCCTGTTATATAAACCATAGCTAGCGAAATTAACATGAAAGAAATACTAATCAAAAATGAATGATAATGGTCGACAATGCTTTATGTAAAAACATTCTAGATGACGAAAGATTTTCGTCCGCCAGTAACATTCATTTACGAAGCCTATTCCCTAACCCAACAAAAGAAAGAAAACTTTAAGAGTATTTGTAATTTTTGCAAATAACTCTTCGAGTTCTTTTTAAACTAAATTAATGGGGGCATTTCCTAGGGATCTATTCGTAGGCCTAATTTGTTCTTAATTTTCATCAACAACCGTCTTGATGTCATCAGTTCCCAACTAGATATTTATGCTGATGATACAACTAATTATTCCAGTTATAACATTATCTAATTAATTAATTAATGTTACAAATTATGCTAGTTATAACAGTACGTCTGAGAGGTTCGTTGAGATCAAAAATGACCTTCAATCAGCTGTTGACTGCCGTAGAAATGATTTGTTAATATTAACGTCTTCAAAACGAAACTGCTGTTAATATATTAAGAAAACTTTTTGCCTTCCATCACCATAGCTGATGCTAACCTCCAGGAGAGTGACACGTTGCGCTTTCTCGGGCTAACATGCTCTACTGATATGAAATAGAAAAATGATATTGAATCCATTGCTAGGCCTGCTGCTAGGAAAGTTGGTTCACTGTGCCGTGCTAGACAATTTATTTTTCGACAGAATCTATCTTAGATATTTATAAGCCGACCATTCGTCCATGCATTGAATATTACTGCCACATCTGGTCTGGTGCTTCTGCTATATATTTAGAGATTATTGATAAAATCCAAAGAAGAATCTTCAATGTTATTGGTCCTAACCAGGCATCTCGGCTTCAGTCAATTTGCCATTACCGTATATTTCTATAAATATTTTCATGGCAATTGTTCTGATGAGTTTTCCTCTTTGGCACCTGTATTTTATGGATTTAAGAGCAGTGCTAGATTGGTATCTAGGTCTCTTCATTTTACAGTCGAAATAGCTAGTTGTAAAGAACCGTAAGTTCTATGCTAAT